CCGCCCGAAACGTCAGCCTTCCTGCTCCTCTGATGCTGCTTGGCCTGTGTGTTCATCCAGTTCTACACGTTGTTATCTTAGATTCTCCAGCATCTGCAGTTCCTACTATCTCATCTCAAAGGGTTGTAGAACTGAATTTCAGAGATAGTAACAATGTCACGGGGAGATTTGAAAACAAGTGAGATTTAAAAATTAAGGCATGGCTTAACTGGAAGCCAATGTAAGTCAGCAAACACAGTGGTAATAGGTGAAGAGAACTTGGTGTGATTTTGGACACAGGCAACAGAATTTTGGATAGCCTCAAGTTTACAGAAGGTAGAATGTGAGAGATCGGCCAGGGGTGTATTGGAATAGCCAAATTCTTTGTAGCAAAGATACGGTTGAGCTCAGGGAAGGTACACTCAGGTGATATTACAGAGCTAGAAATGAAATTTCTTAGTGAAGATGCAGAAACTTATCTGATGTTGAATACAACACATTCAATGAGTTCAAAGAACCTCTACAATGCAGAAAAGAGGCCATTTGGTCCACTGAGTCTGCATTGACCATCTGAAGGGCATCCCACCCAGACCTACATTAGCCCATACCCGCACATTTACCATGACCAACCCACATAGTCTGCACATCCTTGGGCACTACAGGGCAATTTAGCATGGGCAATCCAGCTAACTTGCACATCTTTGGACTGTGGGAAAAAACCAGAGCACCCAGCAAAAACCCATGCAGACATGGGGAAAACATGTAAACTTTACTCACCCAAGGCTGGAATTGAATCTGAGTCACCATGCTACCCCTCATGATTGAGCTGATAATTCTCAATTCCCCTTTCCTGCCTTATTCCCATAATCCTTGATCCTCTTACTGATTCAAAATCTATCCGTCTCAGTCTTCAATCTCCATCCTACTGAACTAAACTGTGCATTTGGACAGAATGCAATGCTCTCATTATTTTAAAAACCAAAATTTTATTCTTTCAAGACTACATTATTGTATGCTTAAAAACCAATCCTCCCTGACTCTATCCTGATAGCTGAAAGTCCTTAAAGTAGATTTTAATCAGACTGTCCTCGCCTGGACATCTCAAGGCATTGATATCCTTCAACATTCATGTGATAACTTCAGAGCTGTTTCATATTCAATTGTCCCATCTAAACACCTTACCAAATTAATAGCTTTAACAACAACATTTCATGAATTCCACCCTCACAGCCCTTCTCTGGCATAGAAGCCTTGATCATGAAACCCTGCATGACATATGGTAGACCAAAAAAAACCTCAGCCCAAAAGTATTATGCTTCACTTGTCTACATTGAAAAACATTCAGTACAGAGGCATTCCTGCACCCAGTGCATGTAGATTTCCACACAAACTTTATTGCCCTAATGGTCTCACAAACGTACAAGTCATAAGCAATCAAGTGGATAATCCTTCGATGTATTTCTTAAAATGATAAAGAAATGATTCAAAGAAATTAAAAAGGATCCTGACATGAATCAGCCATTAACCAACTCTTATACAGAGTCATCCATATTAATTTCTACCCTGACCTATGTAAGTACAACTAAGGGTTAGTATTTTCCATTTTTTAATGCAATGAGGGAGGATCTGTCTGTTTCTGTTTTATCCCAATGAATCAAGTATCTGTGGCTGTAACAATGTATTCTGTGCTCTATTCTGCTACCCTAATGCACTTTGTATGGTATATCTGCCTGTATAGCATGCAAAACACCACTTTTCATTGTATCTCGGGACATATAACAACAATAAATCAATGAACTAAATCAATCAACGTGATGGCCAATTAGTAGCCTTCTGGTGGGAAAACTGCAATTAGCAGTGCAAAAGGGATCTGCACTCAATTGGGAGTCTAGGCTGCAAGATCATCTAGAAGAGCAGTTCAACTTTAAACAGGAAATCAGTTGTGGCTACAAATTTAAATGCCACCAGTTCTCTAAGTGTGTTCTTATTTGTGATGAAGCAGTAAAAAAACTCAATAAATGAGCTGAAAAAAGTATGTGGACGTTATCACCTTCTCCAGCAGAATCTACTGCTCCATTCTGATGTCAGGCCATTTCTTCTGCCCTGTGGTACGACATAACATCTGCAATAAGGAACATCCAAATTTCTTCCCATCCCACATCTGAAAAATCAAGAACAAAAAGCATTATGTACATAGTTCTTTAACAAGCTCAATTGCTTACTGATTATTGTCATGCTCAGTACATGCATGAAGATATTGCAACTTTTAAAGCTGTATACAATACAAAAGCTGTTAAGCTGGTTGGAGCATATGATGTGACTTGAAGTTTAGGTAGTCAAATCTGCAGTTAATACCTGATTAAGTATGAGCCTGAGTGAATGAACTTCACAGCAAATTGTAAAATTCATAGTTTCACTGTTTTATAATGGAGCAAAACCTAAAGGGAATGGGGTCTGCAGACAACTTATCTTCCCAGTTCATGAAGGAGAAAAGGGAAGATTGAACCTTAATTTGTAACAAGCCAAGGAAAATATGATCACCATTGACTTCATTTGCAACATTGTGTCTCCTTTACAATTAGAATGAGTGGACCCTAGAAGTGTTAACCTTGCAGGCATGTGACTATGCAGTCTATTTACCCCTGAAACAAAGAGCAAAAGGAGAAACAACAGTAAATATTGTGGCCTTCATCCACCCACTGGATATCAGCTACAAATCATCAGGCAGCCAAAATATTGTACCCACTCAACTTCAAGTTCACCTGAGAACTAACATCCTGGCCACTGAACTGCAGAAGCTTTGCAGCTTACTTAAAATCATTAGTCTTTTAATAGCTTCACTCCAGCTGAAGAATCATTTCATTTAAGAAACAATAGGCCTGTGACAAAAAGTGACTGAAATAATCCCAAATTGCAATTATATTGTTTTTTTTTCATCTGTATCTGATCTTTGTATGAGTGACACAGCATATGATTCAAATAAGTGAGACATTGCATTTTATGGGACAGCATGTGATTACAAATAATCTTCCTTTTAAAATTCACAAAGACTTGCTGTTTATATTTATATTGGGCCAATAACTTTGAGGGTCAGGAAGTACACAGATACATGAAAACACTTTGATTGCGCGTAGTAAGGAAATATACAAATCCTGCCCATGACAGCAGGTAATTTCAAAACAGTAGCAGGATTCTGGTTTCAGTGCCCACTCTCCTCTAAGACTGGCATGATGATGCCCCATTGCCTGCCCAACATAACAATCAGGTGAGTTCATGTGGACTACAAATTTACAGCCTAAAAATCAGCTCCAAGTTATTATCCAAACTGAACTCTGTCCACCATTCTCATAAGGCAAAATCTTACCCAGCAGCCTGTTATGTGGTACTTTACCAAAATCTTATTTTTGAAAATCAAGTTACTCACTGTTTACGCTTGTCAGGTCTTCACTCAGAACCATCATTTCTCAGGATGTAACTACACTGCACTGATAGCATTGGTCTGGAACACTCTCCAGGGAAGTTGTGCCTCCATTTCTCTGAAGTGCCATGTTGGGCCTTGATGCGAGGTTTACACTACTACTCTTTCACATGAGCATGAAATGAAATTGTTTGTCCTGTTTTTATTGTAACATAAACATACCCTTTCATTGCATTTGGTAAATACTGAGCCAAGGCACCAACACTTCAGTGCAGCAAATATTGCACAATATCCTATCAGTGTAAACATTTATAACCACCAGATGCTGGACTCCAAGCCCCTGTTCAGATACAAATAACATCTGGTCCTCTTTTGTATGGAGCTTCAGCACAAAGTACTCTTGAGAACAAAATAGACACAATGTTGAAAAGTAGAACTGCAAACCAAGGGGCTATTAAAGGATTTATTGCACTTTGGGTGTGGTGTGATAAATCCTGGAGAAGTCGAGCAATGGCTGCCAAACGTGAATTTCAACAGCATGTTGTTTTTAAAGGTTATAACCCAAATGATGTACATTTGAGTATTCTTTACATAATTAATTCAGTGTGAGAGTAAGGAAAAAGCTGGAGAATTTCCAGCTTAGTTTAAAAATAACTTGGCTATGGTGATGGAAGTTTTTAACATTAAAAATGAGGAATACGGAATTAATGCCCTTTATGGAAGCATACTAAAAAGTATTTATTCTAAACTTTCAATGTTGCTTTGAAATTGATATGAGTAGGTACATATTTAATAGGGAATTAATTGAATTCTTTGGAAGACTATAAAACCAGCTGTAGTCACTAACTTTTGTCAAGGGCCACAGTTTCAAACAGTGTCTTGCTCCAGAGCCACTATTATGAACAAGTTATAAAGCAACTCCATATGTTAGCACATATAGTTGAAACAGCTTTAAAAATCCACAAAATATCAAGTTATGCTCATACGATCCATTCTATTTAGTCAATGTGCAGCACATTAGCCATAGGTTTCTGAACTGGTTTTGACGACATTTCACTTCATATACTAGTTGTTTGAAGGTTGGTAGTAAACTGGACATTGTAATTTCAATGGTGGATCATTCCATCCAGGGAAACAGAAGGAGATACTGGGAGTTGAAACTAAGAACGCAAAATATCATGTGTCAGCAATCACTTTCTGTAATGGTGCATGAACGTTCCTCAATTCAACAAATTCAAGGTAAGTTTCTACTTTAATTAAAAATGTTTCCTAACTGAAGTTAAAATGAGGAATATTTGATTCCATGGGTATTCACAGATAAAGTAAATTAAGAGCATTCCTTGAAGTGTTTCTTTTTGGACAGTATGTATTTTGGCTTGCATGACATAATATGAAGAAGCTAGGCATAATGTAAGTAGGAGATAGCCCATGTAAATATGATATCAAAAATAGGGGTGGTGATACCAGTGGGAATTCCTTTAACATAAACTAAAGATCTGTGGATGCTGAAAATCAGAAACAAAATCAGAAATTGTTGGAAAAACTCAGCAAGTCTGGTTTTAATGTAAGCATTGCCTTGTTTATTGAACAGAATTAGCTTCACCATTGAAAAGAGAGGGTGACATTTGATATAAATGTATTTTGTATTTTTTGGTGAGTATTGTCAATTTTGAATATTAGACTGTTGTAAATGAAAGTATATTATGTTTCCTATGTTATAAAATTCTTTGTTTTTGCCTCACTTTATTGTTGCGTTCCGTTTCATTTCAATTCATCCCTGAATTACTGACATTATATTTGTCCTTTTGTTTCCTAATGTGAACTGTATGCTCGTTGGCTCTTCTCATGGTTCGTCCTATACTTTTCTTTGCAAACTAAACAGTGCTGAGTCATTTTCCCTGCCCAAACCTGAAAGAGCAGAATGGCGAACAAGCAAATGATCAAGACACTATTTCTAAACCATTTGACCAAGATTTGTCCTTAGCATGAATTAGCAGTACTTCAGGGTGAATGACAGGAAAACACAGCTTGGGTTCAAACTGTTAACAGCTAGCAAAAGAATTTTTTTGAAATCATATGCATGTGATCATTGGGTGAAGATCAAACTTGGCTGAGATGTCATACATAGTTAGTTGCTATAACAATGAAGCCTCATGTCTGGACGAGTTGTCTGGTGGTCGACACAATCTTTGGGATCAATGTTGAGTTAATAGATTTTCCCTTATCATCCATCTTGAATGGGTTAGGAAGTAACAGATATTATTGGATCTAACCCTGCCTGACAGTCCTGACCTTGGTGCCCCTATGCATTCCTCAAGATGAGATGCCATTACTCCTCTGCTCCTCAAGTGAATTCAGAGTCTGGAGTCTTTGGTCTGTATGCCCTGTAGACTTTCCTGACACTGTCCCTTTCCAATTAGATGTTGACACTCATCATACTATCTACTCGTGTGCTCACCTACAATTAGCTCATTTGCCTGATTGATTTCACAACACAGCCTTGGTTTTACTGAGTAAATCTACGTTGTACTTTCTGAAATTTACTTTATCCCATGTCAGTGAAGAACTCAAACGTTTACACATTATTCAATATATGGCCTATATGTCATCTTGTATGGAGTCAGCTTGATGTTTTATTTATTCACCGTTAATATAAACCACAAAAACTCAATTACCCTCATAATGGCATTCTTAAAATCTCACCATATTCTTATCTTATTATTTTTGATTTCTTTTAATTTAGGTACTGAACCAATTCCAATCTCACTAAAATGCACCTAATCTGCCAACTATGGACCCTTAGCCAGGAAAAATATTTGTCAAAGTTTCAATGTCAATGGTGAATATTGCTTATATGGATTTCAGTAAGGCCTTTGACATGGTTCTGCATGGTAGACTAGTTGGCAAGGTTAGATCACATGGAATCCAAGTAGAGCTAGCCAATTGGATATAGAATTGGCTTGAAGCTAGGAGAGAGGGAGAATGGTGGTGGGGTGTTGTTTTTCGAACTGGATGCCTGTGACCAGTGGCATGTTGTGAGGATCGTTTTTTTTTTCATTTATATAAATGATTGGATGTGAGTATAGGAGGTATGGTTAGTAAGTTTTCAGATGACACCAAATTGGTGGTAGAGTGGACAGTGAAAAAGGTTATCTCAGAGTACAATGGGTGCATCTTGATCAGATGGGCTTATGGGCTAAGAAATGGCAGATGGAATTTAATTTAGATAAATGTGAGGTATTGCATTTTGGTAATGCAAATGAAGGCAGGATTTATACAAATAATGGTACGTTCCTGAGGAGCGTTGCCAAACAAAAAGACCTTGGAGTGCAGATTCATAGTTCCTTCAAAGTAGAGTTGTGGGCAGATAGGATAGTGAAGAAGGCATTTGGTGTGCTTGCCTTTATTGATCAATATAGCATTGTGTATAGGAGTTAGGAGGCCACGTTGGTGCTGTATAGGTCATTAGTTAGGCTACTTTTAGAATACTGCATTCAATTCTGGTCTCCCAGCTATAGGAAAGATGTGAAATTTGAAAGGATTCAAAAAAGATTTACAAGGATGCTTTCAGGGTTGAAGGATTTGATTTCTAGGGAGAGGCTGAATAGATTGGGCCTATTTTCCCTGAAGCATTGAAGGCTAAGGGGTGACCTTTTAGAATTTTATAAAATCATGAGGGGCATGGATAGAGTGAACAGCCAAGGCTTTTTTCCCCCAGGGAAGGGGAGTCCAAAACTAAATGG